TGCCCTCACCCATCCCTCCATCCACCCACCCACCCACCTCTCCACCCAACCTCCATCCCCACCCTTCCGTCTTCCCTCCCTCTCTCACCCATCCCTCCATCTATCCACCCACCCAACACCCCATCTATCCATCCATCCACCCATCATCCATCGCTTCATCCCTCCATCTGTCCATCCACCCAACCTCCATCTGTCCATCCACCCAACACCCCACCTATCTATCCATCCACCTACCCATCCTCAATCTCTTCATCCCTTCATCCCACTCACCTCGCCCCCTCCAACCTCCATCCCCATCCCTCCGTCCGTCCATCCACCCACCCAACACCCCATCTATCCATCCATCCACCCATCATCCATCGCTTCATCCCTCCATCTGTCCATCCACCCAACCTCCATCTGTCCATCCACCCAACACCCCACCTATCTATCCATCCACCTACCCATCCTCAATCTCTTCATCCCTTCATCCCACTCACCTCGCCCCCTCCAACCTCCATCCCCATCCCTCCGTCCGTCCATCCACCCACCCAACACCCCATCTATCCATCCATCCACCCCTCCTCCATCACTTTATCCCTCCGTCCATCCCACCCGTCCCATCCCTCCATCCAACTTACATCTCCATCCCTCCCTCCGTCCATTCACCCACCCAATCTCCATCCAACACCCCACCCATCCCTTCACCCGGCTGGACAACCCCCAGGCATCCCTCCATCCGTCTTTCCAACCCCATCCGCCCACCCACCCAACCCCGGATCCATCCACCCACCCAAACCCTGTCCCTCCCTCCACACCACCCAGCCCCGCCCCCGCTGAGACTCACCATCAGGTTTATACTGTGCGATGATGGTCACCGTCTGCCCAGCATTTTTCAGAGCGATGGCAGCCTGCTCGTGTGTTGCGCTCCGGAGATCCACCCCGTTCACCTGCGGGGAGAGGGAAGCCATGTCAGGGGGTGGGGAATGGGGCAGGGGCCTGTCCCCTTTAGGGGACGCCGGCTCCCATCCGGCCCCAGGGCGGGGACTGGCTGGCTCAGGGGGGAGGGAATGGGGCAGGGGCCTGTCCCCTCTAGGGGGCGCCAGCTCCCATTTGGCCGCAGAGTGGGGCACTGGCTGGCTCAGGGGAGCGGGTTCTTACCGAGAGGATCTGGTCCCCTTTCCGCAGCTCCCCACTCAGGTCAGCCGGCCCCCCAGCCAGGATGAAGGAGATGAAGATTCCTTCGCCGTCCTCACCCCCGACAATGTTGAATCCCAGGCCTGTCGAGCCGCGGTGGATGATGATCCGGCGGGGTTCCCTGGGGGGGGGGGGGTAGAGAGGTCAGGAACCCCCACAGGGAAGGGGGACAGTCACCGACAAAGTCCCGCAACACCCCACCACCAGAGTGCACAGCGGGGGACGCAGAGCACCCAGGAACGATGGGGTGTGTGAGGTCTGACTGTAATGACCCCTTTAGGTTACAGTGGGTGCCTGTATGTCTCGTGGGCGACTGTAGCTTACGTGTGCGGCTGTACGTTCCTGCAACTTTGTGTGTGTGTGTGTGTGTGCGCGCGCGCGTGTGTTTGCCTCGTGCGCCTGTACATCACAGGCGCACTCTTGAACCTCCACAACATGTAGGCACCTGTACTTTCACCGGCGCCTGTGTGCATTTGCCAGTACCCCTCCTGTTTGCCTGTATGCAAGGTGTACACCTGAACCTTGCGGATGCGCCCGTGTGCCTGTACTTCATCATGAGTCTGTTGCATGGACTGGCAGGGCGCCTGTATCTTATCTGTGTGCTTGTAGCACCTGTTACAGGATGTGATAACATATACATTTGACATGCACTCCTATTTGAATGCCTGTACATCCTGTGGGCACTTGAACATTACATGGTAGCCTGTAGGTCACACGTGTGGCCGTGTGTTACATGTGTACCTGTATATTCCAGATGCGGCTGTATATTCTGTAAATACCTATACAGCATCTGAGCGCCTGTACCTTTCCGAGTTGCCTGTTCATTATGTGGCTGAGTGTATGTCAGAACGGTGTCTGTATGTTATGTGGGTACCTGAATGTCTCACGGCTGCCTGTCTATTAGTTGTGCGCCTCTGTGTTATGTACACAGCTGTACATTACCTGTGCGCCTGTGTGTTACGGTGTGTGGCTGTACATTACCTGTGCGCCTGTGTGTTACGGTGTGTGGCTGTACATTACCTGTGCGCCTGTGTGTTACGGTGTGTGGCTGTACATTACCTGTGCGCCTGTGTGTTATGGTGGGTGGCTGTACATGACCTGTATGTTACGGTGGGTGGCTATAGATAACCTGTGCGCCTGTATGTTACAGTGTTTGGCTGCACATTAGCTGTGCACCTCTATGTTACCGTGCATGGCTGTATGTAACCTGTGCACCTGTATGTCACGGTGTGTGGCTGTCCATTACCTGTGCGCCTGTATGTCACGGTGTATGCTTTTACATTAATTATGTGCCTGTACATTACGGTACATGGTTGTCCATTACCTGTTCACCTGTATGTCACGGTGTGTGGTTTTACATTACCTCTGCACCTGTACATTACACTGCGTGGTTGTCCACTGCCTGTGCACCAGAATATCATGCATGCGGCTGTGTGTTACATGTACGCCTGTATGTTACGGGTACACCTGTTGTCTCCTGCACTCAGGCGCCTACACTTCAGGCGGATAACCATGTGCACCCCTGGCAGATGAACGCCATTAAGAGGCCACAAAGGGGGTGATCTTTGTACACCCCAAACCGTGCCCCCTTCCTCTCTGGGCGGCAGGCGCCAGTCGCCTCCCTTCCTCGGCACCCAGCCCCGCTAGGGGGCAGCCCCCAGGGGAGGGGCAGGGGCTTTGCTCACCTGGGTATGTCCTCTTCCCCCATCATCTCCTTGGGGATGGGGGAGTAGCGCCGGGGGGAGGTGGGGGTCATGGCTTGGGGGTAGTCGGTCCCCAGGTAACTCTGGTGGCTGATTTCATTGTCCAGGTGCTGGGAATACGCTGGAGCGGGGAGAGAAAAGGGGGCGGCGTTAATGGCTGAGATGTGGTCACCTCTGGGGTGGGGCGGCCGTTCAGGCCGGGCTCCCGCCCCGCTCCCTGCCCCCCCCCAAGCACAGTTCTCACAGGTGGTGATGTCGGGCGGGGCGTAGGAGTCGTTGAGGTACATGTTGGTGGGTTTGGCCACCTTCAGGTAGACGACGTCGTACGTGTTCTTCAGCGCGGCCACGGCATCCTCATGCATCACATCCTCCAGGCTGACGTTGTTCACCTGGGGCGGGGGGACGGGGACGACGCAGGGTCAGACCCATGAGCCCCATTTCCCCCCCGTATCCCACCTGCCTCCTGCCCCGGCTCAGACCCACGGGCTCTTCTACTCTCGGCGATATCCAGTGGCAGGGAGTTCTGCAGGGAGTCCCCACACAGCTCAGCACCCCTCCAGTAAGCCCCTCCCACTCAGCTTTTCCCCTGATGTAGGCTCCTCCCCCTCAATTAGGCCCTGCCCCTAACTCCCTCCACTCTGCTAAGCCCCTCCCATTCAGCTCCCTCCTCTCAGCTAAGCACCTCCCACTCAGCTTTCCCCAGACATAGGCTCCTCCCCCTCAGCTAAGCCCCTCCCTTCAATTAGGCCCCTCCCCTAGCTCTTTCCACTCCGCTAAGCCCCTCCCACTGAGCTTTTCCCTGGACATAGGCTCCTCCCCCTCAACTAAGCCCCTCCCCTCAATTAGGCACCTCCCCTAACTCTTTCCGCTCCGCTAAGCCCCTCCCACTCAGCTCCCTCCTCTCAGCTAAGCACCTCCCACTCAGCTCCCCCCTCACTTAGGCTCCTCCCCCTCAACTAAGCCCCTCCCTCCACTAAACCCCTCCCACCCGGCTAATCCCCTCCCACCCTCCACTCCCTCCACTCAGGCCCATCCCCCCCCGGGGGCTCAATTAACCCCTGCCTGGCTGTGGGGGCGACTCACCGCCAGGATCTTGTCCCCGATCTGGAGGCGCCCGTCCTTGTGGGCGGCCCCCCCCTCGATGATCTTGGTGACGTAGATGCTGTTGTCCCCCGGGATGTGCTGGTTCCCGACACCACCTGCGATGCTGAACCCCAGACCTGAGCGGGGGCGGAGGGGAGAGAGATTCAGAGCGGGAGATTTTCGGGGCCGGGGGGGGCAGACAGATCTGGGGTGAGTCAGACAGAAAGGGAGGGGGGGGGAGATCCCCGGGGGGGTTCCCCCCTCTGGGGAGGATGGGGAGATGATGGGGTTCGGGGGGATCCCGGGAAAGAAAGGGGGAACCTCTGCCCGAGGGGGAGGATCTCCTAGGAGAAGAAAGGGGGGGCCGTCAGGGGGGAGCAGAGACTGTATGGGGGGGCTAGTGGTAATGTGGAGGGGACTTGAGGGGGACCCCTGGCTTTGGCATGTGCTCGGTCCAAGGGCCTCTCTCCAGTATGTGGGTTATCTGGTGGGGGGGGGTCTCTCAGTGGGGGGGGACCAGGGGGTATTGAGGGGTTCTCTTTGGGGGTTCCTTAGCAGGGGACCAGGGGGGTGGACGATGGAGTCCCTGGATCTAGGGGGGGATCTGGGGGTGTTCTCTCGGGAGGCCCCAGGGGATGGAAGCAGGAGGGGGGCTGTGGGGGTGGCTGGCGGGGCAGGGGGTGTATGTGAACCCCAAGTTCTCGGGGTCTCTCCAAGGGAAGACGGGGGGTGCACAGGCACATCCCCAGCCATGGGTGGGTCTCTCAGAGGGAGGATGTTCCCAAGGAGCTTGGGGGGCTGTCTGGGATATCCTGAGCCATGGGAGGGTTTCAGGGGGGCTATCGAGGGGGCTCCCCGGCCGCAGGGCGTCTCTGACCTTTGGGCCCCTTGATGAGCTTCACCTCCATGACCTTCTCGGCCAGGGCCTTACGCCGCATGACGTAGAGACGCACGATGGAGCCGGCTTCCTTCAGCGCCTCCACCGCCGTGCTGTGCGTCACCTCTCGCACGTCCACGTCGTTCACAAACAGGATGCTGTCGTTCACCCTGGGGCAGGGACATGGGGAGGGGGCGGATCAGGGGGGTTCACGGGGGCGGGCACGGTGCCAACTGGGGCCCAGGCGGCCCGGGGCGATTGTGAGAGGGTGCCGTGTGCAAGCGTGCGACACGTGCGATGAGCGAGTGTGCAATGAGCGATGGCGCAATGGGGGAGAAACGAGCAGCCGTGCAAGGAGCGCTTGGGCGGGTATGTCATGAGCAATTGGGGAATGAGTGTGCAAAGAGTAACAGAGCGGCAAGCAATTGTGCAGGGAGCAGTTGTGAGCCTCTGCAATTAGCAGTTGAGCAGTGAGTGTGCAATGACCAACCGGGCAATGAGAGATTGTGCAACAAATGATTGTGAGCATCTGCAAGAGCAATTATGCAAGGAACAAAGTAGGAGAGTCTGCAATCAGCTGTTGTGCAAGGAGCAATTGTGCAAGGAACAAGTAGGTGTGTGTGCAAGGAGCAGTCATGCAAAGAGTCATGGTGAGCACATGCCATGAGTGATTGTGTGATGAGGAATTGCACAGAAAGTTATTGTGATCACAGGGAATGAGTGTGGGATGAGCAATTGTGCAGTGAGTGATTGTGAACATCTCCGACGAGTGATTGTGCCAGTGTGAGTGTGTGCCATGAGCAACTGTGTAACAAGTGTGCAACAGGTGCTGGTGCAGGGAACAATTGTGCAAAGAGGGATTGGGGGAGCCTCTGCAATGAGCGATTGTGCAACCAGCAATTGTGAGAATTTGCCATGAGTGATGGGGTCATCAGTGTGCAATGAGCAATTGTGCAAGGAGTGAGGGTGAGCACGTGCCACCAGTGATTGTGTAATGAGCGTGCAATGAGTGGTTGTGCAGTGAGCGATTGAGAGCACTTACAATGAGCAACTGTGCACTAAGAAATTGTGAGCATGTGCCATTGTGCACATGCAATGAGTTTTGGATGAGTGCAACAAACAGTTGTGAGCATAAACAATTGTGCAAGGAGTGTGCAAGGAGTGACTGTGAGCTTGTGCAAAGAGTGAGGGGTGAGTGATTGTGCAACAAATGATGGTGACAGTTTGCAATAAGCGATTGTGTGCAGGCCATGAGTGATTGTATAAGTGTGTGATGAGTGTGCCATGAGTGATTGTGCCCCAAGCAACTGTGTGCACACAAGTGTAAGGAGCAACTGTGAACATGCAACGAGTGATTGTGCAAGTCATTAGGTGCATGTGCAAAGAACATTTAGCAAACCGGTTCGCACGTGTGCGAGGCGTGATTCTGCACATGATTGTGCACATGGACAGCCTGCCATTCTGGGCACGAGGCAAGGTGATCGTGCAAGAGGCAGTGGGTGTATATGCAATATACCACTGTGGGAGCACCAAAGCGTGTCTTTGCACATGTCTGAGGGTTTGTGCAAGTGCTAGGCACGTGCAAAGAAGCAGCGTGCGAGCCAGTGTGCACAGCCACACAATTGCTGAGTGCACACTCACTCACTGCTCAGGCTCATGCGCTCACAACCTTACACCCCCAGCGCACAGGCTCACAATCGCTTGCATAATCACTCACTCCCCAGCCCCTCCTCCGCCCCCCACCACTCCCTCCCCCGGCCCCGCGGGTACCTGAGGCGGCCGTCCTGAGCTGCCGCACCCCCAGGGATGATTTTCGTGATGAAGATGCTGGGGTCGTCCCCAATGTGGGGGTTGTCCGTCCCCCCAGCAATGCTGAACCCCAGCCCGGAGTTACCCTGCAGGAGACACCCCCGAAACCTGTCAGTCGTCCTCCAGGGGCTGCGGGTCGGGAGTGAGGGGCACCGGCAGAGCTGGGGGGGGGCAGGTCTGGGCTAGCAGGGGGCTGCGGGTCGGGAGTGAGGGGCACTGGCAGAGCTGGGGGGGGCAGGTCTGGGCTAGCAGGGGGCTGCGGGTCGGGAGTGAGGGGCACCGGCAGAGCTCACCCGTTCTAACGTGATTTCTTCGTACTCCATCTCCCCCTCCGTCCCGTTCACCTAGACAGAAAGGGGGGGTTGAGAATTGGGCCCCACACGGCAGAACGAAGGACGAAGAACAAAGGGACGAGTTAATAGAAAGACGAGACGAAGGACGAGAATGAAATAAACTCAGAGCTTGAAAGAACGAACGAACGAACGAAAAGCCACAAGAGCTATTTGCCTGCATCGGACAAGACCCCCCCACACTCACCCCCCTAAATCCCATGGGGGGGGGATCTTCCACCCAACCCCCCATGGTGCCCCCCCAACCTGGGAAATGGGGTAAGAACTATAGACTGGACTCTCTATTGAACAGAAGCAGATGTGGGGGTCAGAGATGAGTTTGGGGGAAGGTTTGGGGGGGTCACATCAGGAGGGAGTTTGGGGGAAGGTTGGGGAACTGGGGGGCATTTGGGAGAGGGGAAGATTTGCGGGGGAGTTTGGGGTGGGGGGACGGTTCCCAGAGATGAAGGTGCGTCTAGGAGGAAGCTGCACCTGTCCAGACACGAGCCCCCCCCCCATCCCCCAACCCTCCCTGGGCCCCCCCACTTGGCTACTCACATATGCCGGCGCCTCCAGCGTGTCCGTGTTGACGATGACGGGCGGAGAATTCGCCTGCAGGAGAGAAGGAGGCAAAAGTAGGAGACCCCAGCGTGAGCTGGAGGCATCTCAGCCGCTTCTCCGGGGTGCCACCAGCCCACCGAGATACCAGATCCCCACCCCCCTGGGGAGGAGACACCCCCAGACCGGAGGCAAGTGTGCCACCCTCCAGGCACCCCTCCTTGGCCTTGGGTTCCCAGCGAGCCAGCGGCTCTGGTCCCCCCAAAACGGGTGGGCGAGACCTGGGGACTTTTGGGGCGGAAGAGGAAGATCCCCCCCACAACTTTATGCTGCGCCCAGAAGCAGCCGCACGCCAGCAGGGCTGGGGGGCCCAGCCAGAGGCTGCACCCTGAGCCCCAAAAGGGACCGGACGCCCCCAAACATTCAACCCATCGAGCTCCAAAATGTGACCCTCTGAAATGTCACATCCCAAATGATACAGCAGCCTCGAAAGCTCCTGAGGTTTTGTCCCCTGCAAACAGTGAGGGAACCCCAAAAAACCAACACTGAACCAGCACCCCTCCAAATTTCCTGGGACCCCCTGCGAATATCCCCCGGCAAAAAATCAGCCCAAATATTCACCTGAACCCCCCAAAACCATCACTCTGAACTGACACACCAGGAGCACCCCCAAATAGCACCACACCAAACCAACAGCCCCAAAGCACCCGGGGAACCCCAAACTCAACATCTGTGACCCGTCAAACTAAAACTTCAGCGCCACATTTGACCTCAGGGTGGGGCTAGCAGGGGCTGTGGGTCGGGAGTGAGGGGCACCGGCAGAGCGGGGGGGGGGATAGGGGCTGGGCTGGGGGGGCTGTGGGTCGGGAATGAGGGGCACCGACAGAGCGTGGAGGGGGCAGGGGCTGTGGGTCGGGAGTGAGGGGCAC